GCCGCCTCCAATTCGGCGTTTCTGTGGCACCGGGGATCTTCCAGAGCCTCATGGAGCGTCTGCTCCATGGGCTCCCTGGTGTCGTCCCGTACTTCGATGAAGTTCTGATCGCTGCTTCCAGCCGCTCAGAACTCATCGAAATGCTCAGGAAGGTCCTCCTTTGTTTTAGGGGTGCGGGTTTAAAACTTAAGCGCAGCAAATGTTTGTTTGCTGTGCCTAGGGTGGAGTTCTTGGGCTTCTTGATTGACGCCCAAGGAATCCACCCTACACCTTCTAAGATTGCCGCCATCAGGAACGCCCCCACTCCCTCCTCCAAGGCGGAGTTGCAGGAGTTCCTGGGGCTTCTCAATTTTTACACACCATACGTGCCTCACAAGGCATCACTAGTTGAGCCACTGCATCGGTTGCTCGATCGATCCGCGGTTTGGTGCTGGGGCAGCCGTGAGGCGCATGCGTTTGCGGCTGTCAAAGACACGCTTACGTCAGCGGCTGTCTTAGTACAGAACAGTGACAAGCTGCCGCTGACGTTGGCCTGTAATGCCTCCCGCTATGGTCTGGGGGCGGTCCTGAGCCATGTCCTCCCAAATGGCTCAGAGGCCCCCGTGGCTTTTTATTCCCAGACACTCTCCGCTGCGGAGCAAAATTACAGCCAGATCGACAAGGAGGCTCTGGCTGCAGTGTCCCGGGTTAAGAAGTTTCATGACTATCTGTATGGTCGGCACTTCACTCTTGTCACTGACCATAAGCCAATCCTTGGGCTTCTGGCGGGTGACAAGCCAACCCCTCCTATTCTCTCCCCCAGAATGACGCGATGGACGGCGTTCCTGGCGGCGTATTCTTATATGCTGCTATACCGTCTGGGCAAGCACCTAGGGCATGCTGATGCCCTTAGCCGCTGCCCCTTGCCGGACTCTGACCCGGCCCCAGTGCCTTCCCTTTCCGTTTTGCTAATTGCCTCCTTGGGCTTACCACTCTCAGCCGCTGACATAGCGGCCCACACTAAGGCTGACCCTGTCTTGGCTCAGGTTTGCTCCTGGGTCCTACGGGGATGGCCTTTAGGGAAGGTGGCTGACAGCTTCCGGCCCTTTTAAGGCCCAGCAAGCTGAATTGTCCCTCCATGGCGGATGTTTGATTTGGGGGGATCGGGTCGTGATCCCTCCCGTTCTGCACTCCAAGGTCCTGTCTCTGCTCCACAAGGACCACCCCGGCTTAGCACGCAGCTATGTCTGGTGGCCTTTGCTGGACTCAGAGATTGAGGCCTGCATGGGCCGCTGTTCTGCCTGTCAACTCTCTTGTCCCAATCCCCCAGCAGTGCCGACTCGTGAGTGGGAGGCTCCGAGAGGCCCATGGTCGCGCCTACATGTGGATTTTGCCGACCCCTTCCATGGCCAGACATTCCTGATCATGGTAGATGCCTACTCTCGCTGGGTGGAACTGGTCCTTATGACCTCCACCTCCGCTGAAAGTACGGTCCAGGCCCTACGCTGTTTGTTCGCAACCCACGGGTTGCAGGACGTGGTTGTCTCCAACAACGGGCCCCAATTCACTTCCACCACATTCCAAGAATTCCTGGCCGTGCAGGGTATCCGGCACATGCCCACCGCCCTGTACCATCCGGCCTGCAATGGCCGGGCAGAGTGTGTGGTCCGTTCAGCCAAGGAGGCACTTGGCCGGATGGACTGGGGTGACTGGCAGACAAGGGTGGCGGCTTATCTGTTAACCCAACATTCCACCCCCTGCCCAATGACCAACAAAAGCCCCGCAGAGCTGTTGATGGGTCGGCGCCTGCAGGTCCCCCTGGATAGGCTCCATCCGCTTTATATGGGGGAGCAGCCGTGCAACCTGGGGTTTTTCCCTCCCTGCTCTTTCCATGTGGGGGATCTGGTCTGGGCCCGCTCATTCTCTGGGGACTCTAAATGCGTGGCTGCCTCTGTTGTGTCCATAACCGGCCCCTGTTCTTACAGGGTCAGATTGGCCAATGGATCCAAGTGGAGGCGCCACCTGGATCAGCTAAGGAGGCGTCTCCCCGCAGAGACCGGTGTCCCATCTGATCCAGGGCCAAGTGACACAGCTGCCTGCCTCTCCCTACCTCAATGTTGCAGGCTTCCACCCTACCGTTTTGTTGCCTCAATCCGACCAAGGTTCCTGCGAAAGGGCCTTTCCTAGAGCAGTCCCCACTTATCCAGACGCCCCTTGTTGGCCGGTGTCCCCGCCACAAGCTTAACCCGGTCTGGCACAATTGCCTCATTCTGTTGACAATCCATCGCCGGTTGCCACTTCCCGGCAAGGCGACACCTTCCCTGTTGCTGTGCCCTCACAGCCTGGCCTACCTGATGTGTTGAGCCCGCCTTCTGGGCCATCCCAAGATGGCGCTGCTCCACTCCCTTCAGGGAGGAGCTACAACGAGCAGGACTCACCCCTCCGACGACTCCTGGAGAACTGAGGTGTTCTGGGCGGGTCCGGCGCCGCCCCGCCTATCTTGCCGACTACGCATGCTCCACCATTGGGCATGCGCTCTCACTCGGGGGGAAGGGGTGTTGAGGACTCGAAAAGTCCTCGAGTTACGACCTGCAGGCTAGCAACAGACCAGACTGTTGCTAGCCACTAGAGGCGCCCTGATTGGCTAGGGCGCAGCGTCATCAGTTACCAGGCGCCAGGAGCGCACCCATTGGTCCCCCTGCTTTGACAGCCTGTTTAAATAGATGTCAAGCGGGGGATTCTTTTGAATTGCTGTACATTAGTTGTATTGAATAAACCTGAGTTCTTTGCAGTCCTGGCTCTCATCTCTTCTCTTTCCTCGATCCACTAAACAGAGTATCTCGTTGGGTGGATATATTGCCTAAACAAAGCACAACAAACAGATTTCAGGCTACCACTTGTGCTGTCAGAAGTTACTTTTGATTTATTCCCCAGAAATTATGGCCAGAGGTTGCTTTCTTGGCAAGCTAAAAGCAAACTGAGGATGACATTAACAGAATAACAGAGCTGGAAGGGACCTTGGAGGACTTCTAGTCCAACTTGCTACTTGTTTTTGAGAAAGGGTGAATGGACTATCCTTGCAAGCAGAAGGTCCAAAGGAATCTTTAGGATGCATCAGTAGGGATACTGGATAATTTCCAAATCCTGGGAAGTTATTTTTACAATACATTTCTGCAAGGGTTAAATTTAATTCAATCCTTCTCCCCTCTTTGCTGCTTTTGTTGGAGAAATGGCAGCATGTTTACTCGACTTCTTTCACAGACGTCTCAAGGAATGTTCACAGCAAGAGATTTTACAAGTCTGCTGCATGAAGCATGTAAATAATCACTCACCATTGTTTGAGAGAGGAGAAATTGCTTGTCAGGTAAGTGTGTAGTGGCCTAGAAATGCTGACTTTCCCAACAGGAATGCAGCCCTTCAGATTCACAGTTCCGGGTTGTGTTAGCTTCCAACAGACATGAATCAGGTGGATTGTTACTGTGCCAGGATGTTTATTCATGTTTGGGTTTTCAAAAAGCATTTTAAAATTCTTTTGTGCCTAAGCTCCAGCTAACAGCATTAATACTGTAATATTGCTGAAGTTCATGGACTACAGCAATATTGGTGTATGGCAGGGGTGGGTTCTGGCAGTCACTTACTGCTGGCTCGCTCGTGGCACTTCGCGCCTGCTTGATCTGCACTGCACACACATGTGCATTACAAAAAATAGTTCTGCGCATGCACAGAAATAAAAAACAAGATGGCAGCGGCTATGGTGCCACTGGGAGAACTGGTTTGGGGGCATGGCAGGCCTGGGTCGCTGGCAGTTCCACAACCCAAGCTGCCAAACTCCTACCAAACCGGTAGGAAACAACCACTGGTATATGGTGATGGTAAGCAAGGTCTATGCCAGTGGTGTCTAATCTTGGCAACTTTAGAAGCCCCTAGCCAGCCATGTACTGTATAGGTACTGCTACCTATATAGAAGCTCAAGTGTGCAGGAAGTAGGGTAGGCTTAACAACCTAGTGCCAGGAAAAATAAAACTAATCTCCCGTTTTAATCCTCTTTCCCAGAAATTCCAGATGCCCTGTCCAGATGCACGGCATCATTATTGGATTGTTTTGGGTTCTTCAAAGCTCTGTTATGAAACAATACAATAATTCTTGAATAAATGCACCTGCTATCCATGGAAAAGTTGCCTATCTCTATCTTAAAACTGTCATCTGTGTACTTTAAAAGACAAGTTTCAGCAGACAGATGTAAGACAGCACAACCAATGATTATTCTGTGATCAATGATTAATTCATTATTTCAATGAGTTGTATTAAATTGTTTCCCCTAAAGGAATGGCTATCAAGGGTATAGATCAGGGGTGAAATGCTACCGGTTTGGACCAGTTCACCTGAAGTGGTAGTAAAAAAATGCTACCGGTTCGGGTGAAGTGATATTTCCAATGATCAGCTGGGACACACGATTTATAGTAGCTAGAATCGTCGGATTTCCTGCTTTCTACCTAATCTAAATCACATGACATAACAGATCCCCCCCTCGCTGTTTTACTTACCTTTACAGGGGTGCTCGGTAGCAGGCCCTGCCCACCCACCAGGATGTCATCTCGTCCTGTTATTCTGCATTCGCGGAAGGTCCAGCGCATGCATGGAGGTCGCATGTCCACTCACATTTGCGAACTGGTATTAAAGGTAAGTTGATTTCACCCCTGGTATAGATATTTGTATATAATATATATTTAGATCCCGAGTATTTTGTCATTGGCATTTGGATGTGTCTGTATTATGCCGTGTTCTTTGTTGACTTGTTTTTAACAGAAAACGTCCATTAGGCATTTTTCTAAAAAATGCAGCATAATTTTGCACTTAAAATATGCAATACATGAAGAAAATGGGAGCATAATATCCAAAGTGTTCTATGCCCTATTAATTTTATTCTGTGCACATGTTTACAAAATTATAACTTTTGCTGGGGGGGAAAAGGAGTGAATTATCCTTTTTAAAGAGCAATATTGCTTATAGGTGATGCTAAAATTGGAATGTTTACATAGCAAACAAAGTCTGCCTTCCCAGAGGCCTTTTAATGTTGTCAGTGTTTATTACTTTTGCTTTTGGTAAATAAATGCACAGGAGAAAGCAGTAGAGGTTGACTTAAAACTAATAGGCACATTTCCCCCCCAGATTAGAACAGGGAAAGTATGGTTCTTCCTTACAAGCCATCTGCCTCTTTGCCAAAGGAAAGAACAATAAGCAAAACTACAAAGACACAGACTGAAAAATCTGTTCTGTGTTCAGGCAGAACACATATTTTTGACAATCCTTTTGCCTTAACACTGATTCGGCTGGCATTACTAAAGTCATCAGACATTATGAGTCTGTCTCTGAATGAAAGGGTTCAACACAGAGAGAGTGATAGATAGATAGATAGATAGAGATAGAGATAGAGATAGAGATAGAGATAGAGATAGAGATAGAGATAGA